TGAGGCTGAGGCTGCGGCTGGGGTACCATGGGAGTAAAACTCGTGGATGGAGCGACAGCCGGCGACAAGGGCATGCGCATGCCGCTGGAGAATGACGCTTGGCGTGATTGCTGCAGATTCTGATTGCGCTGTTGTTGATTGGCCGCATTAAAGCGAATGTTGAACGGCGTAAAGTTCGTATTGGGCGTCGAATTATTGAGGCCGCTGTTGGGGTTGTTGTTGCTATTGAAACTCTGATTGCCATAACTGGATTCTTCACCCGAATTATCCCCGTTATTCGACATGCCGCCCGTTGAGTGCTGCTGCTCGTACTGATTGGTAGCAACTGCACTACCGCCGGTACCGCCTCCGCCGCTGCCGCGGGAGTTGACACCGCTATAACGATTTCTGTAGTTGCCTGCGCCACCTCGGCCCAAATTGGGCCCGGCGCCACCACGCTGGTAGAGTGGAGCTTGAGTGATATGTTCCTTGGGCTGCTGTGCATCAGTTGGTTTGCTCGCCGATCTCTCCGGCAGTTTCAGACTCCCGTCCGCGTTAATGTGGACTTCGCTCAGATTTCGAGATGCACTGTGCCAACGATCCTGCAGTTCCATTATACTGGATAGGATATCGCTGGTGGCCGAGCCGCGACTCGGCGCTGCCATGCGTGCTTTGCCTAGGAGAAGGGCTTTTCGATTCCTTGGTGCCCCAATATTCGAATTTCGAACTGATGTCTGAACCGCAGTTGATGCGGAATGCTCAGTATTGATATCTACTCCCAAATCGTCGCGCACTTCATCCGTATCGGAAAAGTACTCCAAGTCGTTACGATTGCCAAAAAGCGTGAAGCTCGAGGCACTGCCTCCGCTTATATGGGAGCCACGAGCTCCATCTATTTTGACTCCTAGTTGTTCGGCTAAGCGTTTGCTGGCCGACATTCGCGAAGACTCCTCGGCGTTTTTTCGCACATTTCGCGAATTGGCTTTGCGGCTTACTTTCCGCCTGCGTCGACGCCGTATGATCTTCTTCTTAGTCTTCACTGCGAACTTCTCATCGAAGTTATTGAGATCATACTCCACTACGTAGGTGCGATGGGTTCGTCGGCTGCGCCGTCGTCGCGACGTGCCATTGCGTCTTGTTGTTGTGGTGCGTGTGGTTCTCGTTGTGGTGACATTCCGACTGCGTCGAGTTGTTGTCTCCGTCATTGTTGTGGTTTCCACTTGAGCTGCTCCTCTGGACTGCCTCTGGCTCGAGGAGTTTGGCTGCGTATGCCGCAAGACTGCTGCCCGTATGCGCTCATTTTGGCGAGTGCGTAGAATACGAGGCTGTTGGACTTGGCGCACACGCAAACGTGTTTCTGGCAGTCCCATTCCACGAATGTCTTCGTACAGAGTATGCAGGTCCTCAGCAAGCTCCAGGTCCTCATCTTCATCTTCGTCATTTGAATCTATGCAGTTGTCACAGTACCAGGAGCCTACAGGTATTGTAAAGAGAGGGGGGTCCAAACAGTCCATATGATAACCCTGGTTGCAGCTGTCGCAAAGAAGCATTATATCTTCACGATCGGGACTATTGCATATTTCGCAATTGGTCACATCGTCCTCATTAGCCACAGAGCCAGCAACATCATCTTCATCGTCCAAAACCAGCTCCTTCTTGGACTTGCTCAGATCCACGCGCACTTCCCGAACAATGTTACGGCGCACGCAATGATCTAGAACAACGATCCTATCAAACGCCAGACGGTCTATGGGGCAGGTCTGCACATTGCTTGCCCATGCTTCGATGCAGGTTGCACAAAACAAGTGCTCGCATGTTACGGGTCTGCCGATCTCTTGCTGACGAAACGTCAGCAGGCAGATTGGACACTTCTCCAAGAGCTCATTGCTGCTGCTGTCGGAGCTGTTGCCATCGAGATCCCGCTGAGCAGCCGTCCTGGTGTTATTATTGGCAATACTATTTGTATCCTCACTATCATCGTCAGAAATGATCAATTTCTTTCGTTTCTTTCCACGATCGCGCTTTCTGGCAACACGTTCGTCAACCTGAGGCAAATGTAAATTTATAAATGTTAATAACCATGTAAGAACTTGAAACTATCAAGGTAAAGCATATCAAATAAACAGATATTTCCATTTCTCAGAAGAAATTTAATCCCTATTCACCCATTTCCGACTGTTTCCACAGACATGGCGTATGCCACATCTTTAAATTAAATGTACAGCTGGCCATTTGTATTTATTACATGCTTTACACGTGAAAAATGTTTTACCTCACTATTGCTGTCTGGATCGCTGTCTGAGAGAAGACGTTTTGTGTCTACACGTCTTCGGAGCTGGCGACCAGATGTGTGTGAGGCTCCAGTTACGTTACCATCGCGATTCACATGTTGACTGCGGGTACTCCGGCAGGGTGGGGAAGCTGACGCGCCTGGTAGCCGCGTACCAAGGTCAACACCCACACCCACACTCACAGAAGCAGAAGCGGGGGCATCATTGTCATTGCTTGAATCGGAGCACGAACCATCCGAGTCCGTGTCATCCGAATCCTTAAATTCTATTCGCATAATTACACGACTTTTTCTTTTTTCGCGATCGTTACTCTGTTCAGCCTTCCTGCTGCACGACGGCTGATTCATCTCTGCATCGCTGCAGTCACCGGAATCAGGCATTCTGATGCAATTACGTACGCGTGTGTATGTCGATTTAAACGGGCTCTCGGTTAATTAACAGCTCTTTTCTACGAGATTTGAACTTTTGAACAACTTCCTTTTCGTGCAATCGGTATGTATTTCTGTTTATTTTCAACTTTTCCTCCTTGTTCATATACGATTTTTCTACTTCTTCGTAGCTACATTTTTCTGTTAAGTTGGCTGCGCTTACGCACACTTATCGATTTATTGTAAATAAGCAATTTATATCGGCACTCTATGAAGCGTCTAAAACTGTGGAGAGCGCTGCTCTTAAATTCGGCACAAAATGGCAATGCCTCCCAAACTGTTATATCAATTGCTTGCCTCCGGGAGTCAGTAACACTTGCATATCAACGTGTTTTATAACGTTCTTAGCAAATGTATTTATATATCAGTTGAAAATTGCTTTGTCGTGGCTTTTAAATGTTTCAACCTTTATATTTACAAATTATCGTGCACAATTTATTCACACACATATATACACGCACACAAACAAACAAAGCAAGCCAAGTGAAAAATTATCGAAATATGGTCATTGACCACTATCGTCAATAACCAACCAATCGATAGTTTCTAATTGAACAGGATTAAAGTTTTATTTTCTTTAGTCATACCAGTGGTCATACTTTACTGTAATTTAGGAAATATTATATTGTATGCACCCAGATGAAATTGGTTAAACTTTATATACAATAATTCAACGTGTAACTAGATTAAATAAATATTTTGTTTAATCAGCAATTTCAGCGTATTACGATAAGTTTGGACCTATATCGATATACCGATTGATCTGATAAGCATATTTTCACGAATCGGCGCTGCGTGCGCGCTAAAAAGTAATTAATTGCTGTTCTGATCGCATTAAAAAATGAAGTTACTTTTGTTATGAGAGCAAGCAGGAACATTACATCAACGTAAAACAACGAGCTCATAAAAATATAGTATCCTTTTCTTAAAATATAAGAAAATTGCTTTGGTTTGTCGCTGAGTATATGACGAGCGAGAACGAGGCACATTTTTCCACACAAGAAAGTGAATAATACAAGCTACTAACATAATTGGATAAGCCAAAATGTTTACAACTCGGAAAGAGGTAGATGAGCATGTCCACAAGATGTTTTCGAAGGTGCCGCCTGGCTCAGAGGTTAGTTGCATGCATTATTATCAATATTCTTGGATCAAAATTTTTTTTAGCAACGCTTGCGAAATAGGCGCCCGCCATTAATGCGCATGCATGCATACATATGTAGACATGCATACGTATGTATGTATGTATG